TTCTTTTCTTTTCTTTTCTTTTCTTTTCTTTTCTTTTCTTTTCTTTTTTCTTTTCTTTTCTTTTTTTCTTCTTTTCTTTTCTTTTCTTTTCTTTTTTTCTTCTTTTCTTTTCTTTTCTTTTCTTTTCTTTCTTTCTTTCCCTGCCAAGGAGACGGGAGCAGAGAGAAGAGAACACGAAGGAGAAAGACACTTGGTCGTCTACCAAAACGCAAAACAGCCCCAGTTTAGATATATATAATGTGATTAAAACACAAGGGGAGGCCGATCTTGCGGGAACGAGACCACAAACCCAAAACTCCTCTTTCCGTGTCGGTCATGGAGGAGAAGAGCTCTGTGGAGACTATGACAATATGGTGGTGAACAACTCAGAGAGTGGCTTTGTGACCTTGGCAAGCACCGAAAGCGGATTTGTCACAAATGACATATACGAACTGTGCCACGACCAAGTAGGGCAAAGCAAAGAGTCAGCCTGGGTAGAAAATGAAATTTATGGATATTAAAAGAGCTGCTGGGTGAGAGATGGATTAAGGTGGGGAATGTTCCCATTGACACAAACTGTAGCACACAAAGACATGGCTGTGGTATCGCAGAGGGGTTTCCTTCCCCTCCTTGAAAGGGGCACATGGATCTAAACAAGTTGATTGATTGATTAGATGTCATCAAGTTGTTTTTAATTCTTAGCATCTACGTTTTCTCCATGAAGATCTGTCCCTAGGCTAGACATTCAGATCTTCCACTGATGAACCCATCATCTCTGTCACTGAGTCTGTCCAGGTTGTCCTGGTCATCTTCATCATCATCTTTAAAGAGGAAGGCAGAGATCTTATTGACCAGGAAATGGTCTTGGGAGAACTTGTTTCCTTTCCTTGTTACAGCCTCCTGATCATCTAGAACCTGACAACATTTTTTGCATTATTATAAGCACATCAACTAATTGCTGACATCCAGATGGAATTTGTGAGATACGGCTAAATATAACGCAGGTTTTGTTTATCGCCACCTGGTTTTGATCAGCTGCCGAGATTCCATCTTTACCTGTTTGGCAATCCTAAAAAAATTTCCAGAAAGGAGGGGAATTTCTTTCCGCTCTTCTATTCTTCCACATGGTATTTTTGTAGAATGATCTGAGGACAAAGGAAAGGACATGGTCTAACTACAGTATCTTCCATATTGATTATAGACATTTCTGTTTTGATTCAGAGAGGGTGCAAGTGATAAGAAACTCCTCTGCAGTTGTGGACAGATCTGTTTCTTGGAAGCAGAATACAAATGGGGTAAAGTTGGCGCTAGTTTTAAAAATAAAGATGCCAAAGATAAGTTTCCTTCATATATCAGATGCTTTCTGTCTCGGATGAGACTGGCAAATTTGAGGAAGAAGTAATGTGCTTGTGGTTCTAACACACAGTTTCTAATTCTGAAATTATGTCCAGATTTACCTTGTTAAAAGACAACCTACTGTTCTTAGAAAAAAATAAAAGCAAACAAGCAATGCATTATTTGAGATCATACGCAAATTTTGATATCCTTACGTTTGTGCTATTCATCTCAAGATATCAACTCCTTCTGTGGCTCTCCCTGCAGAGAAGCAGCAAGATAAGACATAGAAATATTTTATGGTGCCTTCCTTTGTTATTTGATGTGTGACAGATGGAAGTGGGGCGGGGGACTTTTAACATTTTTTTTTAACAAGCCAGTGTGATGTTCTGTGCATGTGTTACTCTACAACATTTCGAAAGCTTTTGATACGTGCATGTGATGTCATCTTACATTGTCATGGATGTCATCTTACATTGTCATGGACTGAGAGGTTTCATTCTGGTGTTGAATGCATGAAGCCTGTTGCCATGGCAGTTGAGTTGCTGTGATGTTGTGGAATGTTTGTGAGAACCACTGAAGGACCAAAACGTCTAGCTTGATTGGAACTTTTCCTTGTCTTTTCCCTTCTAAGTGGAAACAGCAAAGCTAAACTTTTGGGAGAAAGTCCCAAAGGTTGGAGAGGAGAGGAGAAAACTCCAAGAAACAGCAATGGCCAGGGGAAACTCCTGATGGGACCTTGATGCTCAGTGAGATTCAGATCACTCAAGGATTACGCAACATTGTGGCATGAAAAAGTCACCCCAAGGGAAAAAATGAGAAAGTTGATTTTGAAGACTCATGGTTGGACATGATCTTCTGATACCGCATGACTGGCCAGTGTGTAATTGCTCCTCTTGGCTTCCTCTACTAAACAAGCAAAGAGGTGTCCCATGTTATGACTCTCAGTCATGAGAACTGCCAAAGAATGACTACATCAGGCCAAATGAGGTGAGGCACACAGCTTGTGGTTGCTTAATGCCTGGGGCATGTCGGGATGAGCCTGAGGAGCCTTACTCACAGTCCCATGCCATGACTGACAGACATCCAAGCATCTGTGGGTAGAAAAAGCCACAGGTAATTTGCACTGTTTTCATTTCAATCCGGGTGTTTTTCCTGCACTTCGGTATTGCTTTACTGCCATGTTTCTCTTATGCATGTCTGAATGAAATGTTGGACTCTCTTGAGCAAAGAAATAAACATGTTTGGTTGCAGAGCAACAACATTAAAATTATAGGCTTCTCTTTTTTTTTGCACTGGGTCTTTCTCAGTGGTCTCTCTCGATCTTGCCTTTCGGAGTATCTTCAGCAGAATTTATCAGCTTCCTACACTGAGGATCATAAATGGTAGTAACTCATAACCTAATGTTGGAATCAGCAGTGTGCATGTTAATCCTAGGTTAGTCAAAAGCAAAGGTATTAAGGATTCCCATTAGCAGTAGCTGGAGTGATAATGAACAATAGATAGTAGTAGAGAAATAGTAACTAATCAAGAGCTGCTTCTTGGTGTTATCAGTCTGCCTACTATCTTATTATGATACGTCCTTCATTCAGCAGTTAAGTGCAATTCTTTTCTTGCTAGGTGTTTTATGTAAAGCAATTCATGTTCACCAATATTTGCTCAAGAGGAAGTAATTTCCTTATTTGTGGAATTTGGGCCTGAAAAAAGTTTCCTGTATTATTATAAAAAGTTCCTACATCAGTCAGTGAGAGCTAGGCAGCTAGAGAGACTATGGAAAATGTACAGCAGCGAATTGTGGTAATATACAGATTTATTGGCAGGTTTCATAACCCCAGATCTTACTTTCATTTTGTGAGAAAAAGAGCTAAACCACAGGATCAAAGTAAAATATTGTATCCTAAACACCTGAAAGCCATAAATGATAGTAACTCACAACACCAATATGAGTTACTAGTACACCAGTAACTGTACACCAAAACGTGTGGAAGAAAGGGAAATATATGGATGGATTTCCAAAATTCACTTTAAGTTTCAAATCATCGGGTTCAACCATTCAATATTTGACATCGATCAATCCCATTTGGAAGTCAATTCAGTGCAAAGACTCAGATAAATCATGCCTCTGTCTGGAATTTTTGCATAACCCAAGAAACAATCATATGTTATGGGTGTGAACTGTAAAAATGCAGGCCACTGATGATGACGTTGCTTTGCCAACATAAATAATTAACCTGGTCAGTTTTCTACACTGATTACAGCTGATGTGCTCTTTATCAAATGCCACTTTTTAATGCATCTTTTCACATCATCTATGACAGGTTCTCCTAGGAAGTAACTTACCTTGGGAAATGCGTATTGATCCCCTAAGTGCTAAGTTTTCTGGAAAGTGGTGACAATATGTGAGGGAGACGGGATTAGGAGATGGAGAAATGTTTGCAAAGCAAGCTAGACTCTGGGTGCCCAATTTCAGTGGATTGAGCCATGGTAGCCAGCCTCAGTTTTCCCATCTTTATCGGTTATATTTTCTGCAAAGCTGTTGGAGGAGTTGCTGGAGTTTTTCACAGCTGCTCATTCTCAGTTGCTTCCCTTTTCTAAGCTAGTCCAGAATCATCTGTTGTTGATTTAGGAGAAAGAGGAAATGAGCTGTGCTTGGGGGGGGGGGGGAAAGCCCTGGCTCCAACCTTTTCACATCTTACCAATCACTGTCACGACAATGGGATGACCACATTTTTGGATGATGCTGTTTGACGGGGTGGCCCATGCAAAGATCAAGTCAGCTTTCACACAGACATTTTTAAGTTGCAATCAGGTGCAAGAAGCAGCAAAACGAGGGCATGAAACTGGTGTTTTGTTTTAAACACTGAAGCAGGGTGACGGTGTCAGCTGGACATGAAGAGGGTTTCCAAGTTTGGAACAAGACAAAAGAACGGATGTGCATGAGCCAAGATCAGCGCATGCTTGCCAATTCGGCGTTAATTTTATCTGTGGTTTATATTTGTTCTTTGCAAGGCAGTTGTGGGGGTGATACCAAAGCCCTTGGTTCATCTGGTAAAAGGTCGGTGTTTGATTTTTGGAGTTGGATAGGAGTACAATTTGGGTGAAATTTCTCAGAAAATAAGAAGGTTCATGCCAGTCTCCAAAACTTTCCCTTTGTCGAGATCTCTGAACTGTTGAAGAGTAAAGAATTTAATGGAGGTTAAAAATAGGACATTTTTGAGAGGTTGGGTTTTTTTAACAACATCCTAAAATGTCCTGGAAAAGAAACATGTAGCACTAGAGGGCGCCTTTTATTTTGTACTTAATATAGCTGCAACCTGCATTTCCTAAATATATGGCAGACTCTCGACTGGAAAAAGTTTTCATTAAAGCCCAATTGGAAAAGCAGCTGTGGCCTTTTATATATACTTTCTTTCCTTTCAAAGGTACCCTGGACATAATTAAAGACTGTTGATTTGGTGGACTGCCCTGTCTTCCCAAGGAAGGCAGCAACTATGGTGTCTAAGACACTTGATGATAGGTGTGATGTTTTGATCCCTGATTTTAATCAATAGTTAAATTTTTTTTTAAAGGCATTGACTTAAATGAGATGCTTCTTTTAAAAGGTATGTGTGTGTTATAGCTCCAGAACAAACTTCAGTTTGGAATTTTTCAGAAGAGTTTGGTAGCATGAAAGAATAATTACAGATTATCCCATTTTGGTCACCACACTATAAAAAGGATGTTGAGAAGAACAGAGAAGAGCAACAAAGATTATTAGGGGAGGCTAAAACATACGATTAATGGTTGCAGGCACTGGGCATGGCTAGTCTAGTGAAGAGAAGGATCAGGGGAGACATGATAACTGTCTTCCAATATTTGAGGGGCTGCCACAGAGAGGAAGGGGTCAAGCTATTTTCTAAAGCACCCAAAGGCCACACAAGGAATAATGGATGGAAACTGATGGAGAGATTCAACCTGGAAACAAGGAGAGAGTGAGAACAACCAACCCAGGGAACAGAAGTTGCCTTCAGAAGTTGTGGGAGCTTCATCCCTGGAAGCTTTCAAGAAGAGACTGGACTGCCATCTGTCAGAAATGGTGTAAGGATCTCTTGCTTGGGCGGAGGGTTGGACTAGATGACCTACAAGGTCCCTTCCAACTCTGTTAATCTGTATCTATATGTACATTCATGCTAATTATACAGCTCAGATCAGGGCCTTGAATGAGCGAACTACTCTGGCCTTTTCTTTTTTCCAGGAGAAGGAATAATGAATGGGTTTATGAATAGACTGGTAGGGTATCATTGTCTGGCAGAACTATTCTTAGCTGCTTCTTGGTTGCATCCAGCATCTCTGGGGGAGAATGCTGACTAATCCTAACCCTGCAGTTGCTCATTCACCGGAACTTTCTAAAATAGCTAAATCAGGAAGGCAATAAAACAACCGGTAAGCATAACGGAATAAGTCATCACTGGCAGAAATGCAAACAGCATCTCACCGGCTCTGCATGGTCTGGAGAACTGTAGGTAGAGAAGGATCCAAAACGTATTTTCATTGTAACGTGGGGATCCTGGACATGGAAACCCAGGTACATGCAACCAGGTATAAAATTAGGAAAGGGAAGGTCGAAAGGGAGCTATTTTGCTTTTGCTCCGAAGTAGGTATAGGTTGGCCTTGACTTATGACAACAATTCAGCCCCAAATTTCTGCTCGTCAGTGAAAGATTTGAGTTTTGTCCCATTTTATGACCTAACTTGCCTCAGTTGTTAAGTGAATCGCTGGAGTGGATAAGTTAGTAACCCAGTTTGTTAAGTGAACCTGGTTTCCCCATTGACTTTGCTTGTCAGAAGGTCGCAAAAGGGGATCATGTGACTTTGGGAAACAGCAACGGTCGTAAGTATGAACCGGTTTCCAAGCATCTCAATTTTGATCGCATTGTGGGAAGACCGCCCCCCCCCCCCCGAAGAATGAAATATTTTGAGGAATATTAAAAGAGGTAGAGTGTTATATTTCCCCAAAGGAGAAATGGAGAAACATGCTCCAGCCCCAGTTTCCTGCATAGTAAAAGAAATCTCAGCCAATCTATTCATAAATGAAACATCTTCAGTTCCAGGATGACGGGATTAAGAAGGACAGGACATGATCTTTAAGGTCGGGACATAATAGGATTAACCCATCACCATTTAGACACAAAAGCCCCTTTATTGCACAATCCCCAGAACAGTTCAAAGTCACAAACCTATAAAGATCCATCCACTCCTTCAACCATTTGGTCAGCTGTCCCAGGACTGCTGTAGGCTCTGTTCATCATTAAATTTCCTTTCCAATCAGCCTCCATGTTGTTTTCAGCGTCTTTCTCCCAGCTTGGAACTGAACCAGGTGGATTTTCCTTCCAACAGCGTGGACCGCACCTCTGTTCTTCTGTCTGGAGACAAGCAGCTAATCCGCTCTTCAAAGGAGACAGATCTTCTGGCAAAGAGGATGGGAAGGAACACCCAAGGTGCACGGAAGATTATGTTGAACTTGCATGTTGCAGACGAGTTTGCAAAGGCTTCTGAAATTAGTGGTGTCTAACTCTGGTGGCTCAGTGGCTAAGACACTGAGCTTGTCGATCAGGAAGGTCGGCAGTTCGGCGGTTCGAATCCCCAGCGCCGCGTGACGGAGTGAACTCCCATTACGTGTCCCAGCTTCTGCCAACCTAGCAGTTCAAAAGCATGTAAAAAAAATGCAAGTAGAAAAATAGGGACCCCCTTGGTGGGAAGGGAACAGCGTTCTGTGTGCCTTTAAACCCGTTTAGTCTTGCCGGCCACATGACCACGGAGACGTCTTCGGACAGCGCTGGCTCTTCGGCTTTGTAACGGAGATGAGCACCACCCCCTAGAACCGGAAACAACTAGCACGGATATGCAAGGGGAACCTTTACTTTTACCTTTAACCCTGGTAGCTTTTAAGACCTGTTTGACTTCAACGCCCAGAATTACCCAGCCAGCTATGAATTCTGGGAGTTGAAGTCCACAAGTCCTAAAACTTACCAAGCTTGGACATCCGGGTTCTAAGCACTCAGCTTCATGATGCTTTTGAAAATCGCCTCTAAAAGTCCTAGGAATATCGCCATCCCAGAATTGACTCTTCTTCGGATAAAACGAATGAGTAAGACTATGGGGTGAAGCTTCTTCCATGTGAAAATCCAGTATAAATGTTACTGCCTGCCCCCCCCCCCCCAGCCTAAATTATCCCTTTTAAGATACATGCAAGGCAAAAACAGCTGTTGCCAAGAATTGATTTGGCTTCCTGTCAGATGTAATTATAGAAAACTTAAGCATGGCATGAAAAAATACAAGAAATTGACCCAGTTGGTTTGTGGGGTGTGGAGGGGGAGAGGTCAGTGGCTGGATCACAAACATGTAAATAACTTGATATTTTGGAATTGTTCAGCTTATAAAATATCAGTTATATAAAGCTAAAACAATTGCAGATAAATCAGGGAAAGGGGCCTAGCATATGAATTATGAAAAGAAAATGATACGGAAATTACAAAAAGGAGATATTGTATAAATGGACAATCTTTCTTTTGGGACAGATGGACAAAGTTGAAAAAAAAATCATGGAATTTTGTTTTTGTATATGATGATGGGAACAACGATGCACAAAGATGGAAAGATTTGGTGCTCCCTACAATGGAAGAATGGACGTTGAAGATGGGAAATCTTGCTGAGGTGGCAAAATTGACTTGTTTGATCAGAGCAAATACAATACTCATTTATTAATCAAATTTATTTGGCCATTACTGGATAGTTCTCTGGGTTGTGTACAACAGTTTTATCTCCATTTATTGCTGACTGGAAACACCTCGTGGATTTTTTTTTTTTTTTTTGCTTAAAATGAAAAAAATGGACCTTGTTTTTTTTGTTTGGATTAGATAATTATAGAAAGAAAAGAGTTAGGTTATAACCATAGAATAAGAGATAAACAACTATACTTATTGTTGTAAAGATCGGAAACTGCCTCTTTGTATCTTTTTTCTATTTTTTTTCCTTTCTTGCATTTTTAGCTCTTCTTTGATTTTTCTTTTCCTGTTTCTTACTTTATATTTGTATTAGTTTTTAATCTTTTTATTTTTTTGTTTTAATAAAACTATATTTAAAAACAGAATTGTTCAGTTCACAATTACAGTGAGTGCTTCATCTTTATTAAAATGCTGGACCCAAGGCAACCCTGATGTCACGACTGGACATAAGCAGTGCCCAGTATATAAATATGGAGCCCAATCTACTGTATGCTTAGTATGTCTCCCATTCTGTTGGATTTTACTTCCCTTAAACTGAAGAATCCCCAACTGGTCTTTAGTTACAAGCCAAGTCCCAAGTCACCACTGCCTTGGCAATACTATATAATTGGGAAGTGTTTTGCAATCACCCAAATGAAAGACACAAAGGCTGAGAGCCATTAATTGGTTTTGTGAATTATAGGATCACGTGGGAGATCAAAAAAGGAGCAGTGGCACCTCAGGGATGGGCTTGCTCTGGGAGGCAACCATCCCCCGGGCGGATGTCTGCTTCCCTCCCATTAAATCAAGACAGGATGGAGGAGCATAGAAGTTACATGGTATGATGTAAACTGAAGTCTTAGCTGCTCTTTGGCTTTGGAAGATGGGGAGGCATCGGGGTATTGTCTGTCACTAAACACACCGGGGAATTGATGCTGTCGAATTGTGGGGTTGGAGAAAACTGGGAGCGTGAACCCTGAAGGAAATGAACCCTGACTGGACAGATACTGAAGCAGGGGGCTGGACTAGAAGACCTCCAGGGTCCCTTCAAGCTCTGTTCTGTTCTCCATATTCCCTATTCTATTCTAATTCTATTTTAATTCCATTCTATTCCTATTCGAATTTATTCTATTCCTCTTCCATTCTACATTCTAATTCTATTCCTATTCTATTTCAATTCAATTTCTATTCTATTCTAATACTATTCTACTCCTAATTCTACTAATTCTATTCTACTCCTATTCTATTCTACTCCTATTCTATTCTACATTCTAATTCTATCCCTATTCTATTCTAAATTCTAATTCTATTCTCCACACTCCCTATTCTATTCCATTTTGTTCTGTTCCAATTCTCTTCTCTCCACATTCTCGGGATCGAAGGCTTTTTCAGACGACCCATCGGGACCCCTCTGTGAAGGGGGGGGGGGAAGGGCAAAGAAAGGGAAAAAGAAAACAGAAAAAACCCACGCCCCCCCCCCCCCCCCCCACAACCCGAGCCCCGAGCGAGGACTGCCTCGCGCGGAGCATGATGGGAATCTCTCCCGCTGGGTGTTGTGTTTTTTTTCCCCCCTTTCTTTTATTTGGCGGGAGCGATCCCGCCCCCTCGAGTCGAACGGCCAGATTGGCGGCGGGCTGCGGTTGCCGGGGCGACGCGCTCCGCCCCGCCGTGACGCGCAAGAGGCGGGGCGTCCGGCAGAGAGAGGGAGGGAGGGAGGGAGCGCGCGTGCGCGTCCCCGTGTCCCCCTCCGCGGCTCCCTCAGCGGCTCTCCGTCCTTGGCGGCGGCGGCGGCGGTGGCGGCGGCGGGTGAGGCGCGGGAGCCGACCCGGGCAGCATGGTGATGGCCGAGCCCCGGCGGCTTCCTCCGGCCGCCGCCGCGCTGCTCCTGCAGCCCCCGCTGCCGCCGCCGCCGCCGCCGGCTCAGCCTCAACCGCCCCGCGGCGCTTCGGTGCCGGTGCGCGTCGGCTTCTACGAGATCGAGGGCACGCTGGGCAAGGGCAACTTCGCCGTGGTCAAGCTGGGCCGGCACCGCATCACGCGCAGCGAGGTGAGACGGGGAGCGGGGGTGGGGAGAAGGGTCGTGGGAACGGAGCGCCGGAGACACGTGTCTATGGGGGGGAGGGGGAAGGGAGGGCGCGTCCCCGAAGGGGGCAGAACGTGGGAAGGGGGCACTTCAGGGGGATTCCCTCTGCGCGAGGAGGACATCCTGCTCTGCCTCCCCCACGACCCTGCCCCACATTTGGGACCCTAAATTGGGGCTAGGGGGAAAGTAGGGAGTCAGGATTCCCCCCTCCCCATGGCTTTTGGGGGGGGATCCCTCTCTTAAATCTGCCTCCCCCCGACCCTGCCTCATGTTTTGGGACCCTAAATGGGGGGGTAGGGATCCAGTAAGGGGATCCCCAGGGCTTTCGGGGGGGGGATCCTGTTTGGGACCTTAAATTAGGGGAGGGGCTGGGGGGAAGCAGAGAATCAGGGGATCCCCAGGGTTTTGGGGGTGATCTTGCTTTGCAATATATCCCGGCCCTCCCCATCATTTGGGATCTGAAATTGGGGCTGGGGGGGGAAGCAGGGAGTCAGTAAGGGGATCCCCTTGGCTTGTGGGGGGGGGATCCTGCTCTTCAATCTGACTCCCTCCAACCCAGCCTCACATTTGGGACCCTAAATTGGGGGGAGGGGGCTGGGAGAAAGAAGGGAGTCAGGCAGGGCACCCCCATGGCTTTGTGTGTGGGGGGGAGAATGCCCCCTCCCCTGCGATGCTGTGACACACACACACACCCTCCCAAGTTGGGACTGCAGTGATGCTGCAGACCGGCTGGCTCTGCTGCCCACCTGGGCAGGGGGGTGGAGGTGGAAGGGCAGAGGGAAACTACCCCCCCCCCCGAATGTGTGGGGGTGAGGTGGGGTGGGAGGTCTCGGAGTCAGGGTGCGAGAGAAAAGAGCAAGTCTATGGGGACTCTCAGTCATTCAGGTTGTCCCGAAGGTCAAAAGCCAAGGAAATCCAGTTGTCTTTTTTGGGGGGGAGGGGAAACAGCTTTGGGAGAGCAAGGGGGGGGTGCAGACTCTAAAAGGGGGACCCCCCTCAATGCAGATTGTCTGGTGCAGAGGTGCCCCCCCCCCATCCAAAGGTGTGTTGGTCTCCTTGCGCTGCTTCAGATCTTTTCAGAGATCCCCCGTGGATCCAGCCGGATGATAAGATCATTCCAGGGAAGATTCCTCTCCCTGCACAGTAGATTCAAAGGTAGATGGATTAGTGGCGGGTTCAGATGTTGACTTTTTCTACCTAGCATTCTTTCCTAGGCACACGGAGCCCTATTGCAAACCTTAAGTAGAGCTGAGAAAGTTTATTTATTCTTTTTCTTTCTTTCTTCTTCACGTTTGATTGTAATTTCTTGGCTGGGTTGTTGTGAGCCACCGGGGAGTTTTGAGAATCGGGGAGCGTACGCAGTTTAGGTATTATTATGGCTTGTCAGACAGTCAGCCAGATGTTCAGACTGGATTTGGCATTTTTGTCCACCTATTGATTCCTTCCCAAGGATGGCAAATGTGGTTTAAGGGTATTAAAGGGGATCCCAGAATATCAGCTGATCCAAACTGCCTTTTGCAATTGATTGGTGGCGATTTTCGTCAATGCCGAAGGTATCCAAGGGTCGCTCTGTTTGTTTTGGGATTGCAGCCAAGGCACCTGTCACTCTCGGGTGAAACTTGCCTTTGCTTTCTTACTATTGTTACTACTACTTTAAAACTGGTAGTTTGTGGCTTTTCGGTGCTTGATGATGTAAAACCTAGAATGACCTTTGAATCTGTGGGTGCTGCAGTTGCAAGGCGCTCTGGAAAGCTAATTTTTGTGGGAGGGGGAATGGTGCCTTCTGTGTTTCTTACTTAAAAGATAAATAATAAAATACAGGGTTCTACTACCACTCCTGATCCTGAGAAATTGGAGTGGGTGCTCCAAGGAAAAACATGGAAGGCTACCAGAGATGATGTGAGGTCCACCTCGATAAGTGGTTCCTCCTAGGTTGCACCTCAAGAGAGGGTGGTCTTCATCAAATTGGAGAGCCCCTGCCCTCTTTTCCACACCTCCAAATAATTAGGATGCTCCCACAGGGTATATATAGATGAGTGGGAACAATGCTCCCTCATGGCAGCTGCCTGTATTTCTGAGACTTTGTGCAGGAACATGACCAAAAGGAAAGTCTTCAGGAAGACATCCTTCAAAGATCACAGGGCCTCCTGTTGGCTTGATTTCTTTGCCTCTCTTTTCTGAGGTGATCTATTCAGGAAAAAAAAACCTCCACAGACAGTGAAAATAGCTTCCTGTCAATGTGTAGATACACCATCCAGGGATGATTTCTGGTGAAATTTGCTAGGCCAGATCCTTCAGAAGTTGAGTACTATATCTAGGAAAAGAGCCTTATCAGAAAGAAGAAGGAAAAAATATCCAGAGAAGCCTTAAAAAGGAGGTAATCCAAGATGTTTTTCAGAAGATTATACATTGAAACTATTTTCTAAAATTCACAACTTCCTCCAAAAAGGACAGAAGTAAGGAACCTTTTGGGGGAGTCAGAAATCTTGAGGTTGTGGTATTTTAGAATCAAACTGCCAAAAAGGCAGAGGAAGGAAGCACCGGAGAGCAATGGTTGTGGGAAGCAAGTCATGGGTCGAGATGGATGAGAAAGCATCTTGAAGACAGGTTGATGTTTCTGAAAAGGGAGTCCCTTCACTGGGGGGGAAGGATTGGTGATCTTGAGATGAACCTGCTTGAAGGAAAATGGGACTCGGAGGGCCATGAGCTGGCAGGACCAGCCTCAGGTAGAAGGGTGAGGAATTATTTCCTTGTAGGACTAAAGGGTTGGGGATTTATGATTCTTTTGGGGCAAGAAATTCAAGAAATCCACTGGAGAAATGAGATGACTGGGGGGGGGGGGCGGGGCAGAGGGTAGGAAAGTGCTGTAATTTTCCAAGGATTCAATTGGAATATAGCTGGAAGGGACCTTGGAGGTCTTCTAGTCCAGCCCCCTGCTCAAGCAGGACACCCTACACCATTTCAGACAAGCGACTGTCCGGTCTCTTCTTAAAAACTTCCAGTGATGGAGCACCCACAACTTCTGAACTTCTGAAGGCAACTTCTGTCCCACTGCTTAATTGTCCTCACCATTAACCTGTTACGAAGTTTCTCCTTCATCCCAGGTTGCTTCTCTCTCTTGATTATAGTTTCCATCCATCGTTCCTTCTCTTGCCTTCTGGAGCTTTGGAAAATAAGTGGATAAATCAATCTCACAATAAAAATAATTTTTACCAGCTACTCGAGCTTTCGGAGATACAAGCAGATAACCAGAACGATGCCGCTTTATAAACAACTAGCTAGAAGCGTTCGTCCATTTCCCTAGCAGTTTCTGATTTCTGCCGACTCTTAGATGGCACAAATCCGCCTTTTTACTGCTAGGCCTTTGTCCTTGCAGCCTTATTTCCCCTCTCTCCAGTAGCTGAGAATACAATGGGATGCATAATTTTTTTCTCTTTCTCTCTCTCTCTTTTGCGATCCCAGCATCAGAAAAGGAGAACAGCTCGTCTAGGCCTGTCCTAATCTTGCACCCCATCCGTCTTTCTTTCGCTAGTAACACTGTTTGCTTGTTTGGAAAGGAAGTTAAAGGAAAGAGGACCGATTCCTTTTCTTTGCCTGCTTCCAAAGTGCAAAGCCAGTTGGCAGCTTTTGACAAACTTCCACATATATAATAAAATTCTCAGGAGGCATGGACCTGGGAGGCCTAATCTGGAGGCACGCATTTGAAGTGTGACTGTTTGGACAAGTGTGGTAACAGCTGCGGAAGTAGCTTTGTGGTTCCACTTGTTAACTATCATTAAAAAAAAAAAAAAATCACACCTTGATCATGTTAATGGTGTGGTTTCCCGCAGAATGCAAACTCCTTTCTCCGAAATCCGGCATCCGGCATCGGTAGAGTAATTTTGACTGTCCTGCTTTAAGGACGCTGTTTGGGAAAGGCAAGCGGTATTGTTATGTTCAGTGTGAGGGCTTTGGGGGGCATACAGAGAGTACTCCATTTACAATGGTTCATTTAGTGACCGAAGTTAACGGCCATTTTTCACACGACCCTTACAGCAATCCCCATGGTCATGTGATCAAAATTCACACGCTTGGCAATTGATTTGTTGAGGGTTACCTGTCATTTGCTGGATAAATAGGTGGCTGTGCTAAACATTGAAAGAACAGTTAAAGCAGATGTATTAAATTGAGACATCCAGTGGCTTTTTAAAAGTTCTTGGTGGAGACCAATTAATGCCTCCTATGTGAACACCTCAACAAAGATGGAGTAGATTTCTGGTCAGTTTGTTGAAAGTGATGGTATACAGGTGTAATAAAGACATAATTATGTTGAAAAAAAAATCTGACAGCGTCACTACATTCACGGGAGCTTTAGAGATCTCTCTGCTCCATTCATTCAGAAAATCACGTCAAGAAAGCAGATCCGCATTGAGTTGGATCTGGCTTTGGAGGAGAGATCCGTTTTTTTGTGGCCAAAAAGAACAGTTCTCTGGCATTTAATCGGGGCTGATCTTTCTTTTTAAGAGCACTGGCATTTAAATAGCAATTTGTAGCCAAGGCATAAAGTCTAATGAATAAATTGGTTTACAGCCTGTTGCTCCATTGCAGGTCCCTAAAGCTGAGAGCATCAGAGGTGACTATTTTGGAAGAGGAGACTGGGCAGAGAAAGTTTTCCAACTGGTTCTGTGGTCATAAGAAAAGACCACGCTAGTTCGCTTTCTGCCCATCACGATGTTCCTTCCAGGGCCATTGGTTTTTTAGACATATAAGGGATTCATAAATAGGGTGTTTTCTTTTCTTTCTTTGTATTGGTTTGCTTGGTTTCAAATGTTGAATTCCCACTGGAGTAGAATTTTGAGCATTGAAATCGCACAACACTTTTTAATTGCTCTGCCCAGGACAGCGATTGCGTGTGTTTAAAGCTATGCACTGCCTCATTTAGCATCGCCTTGTATACAAGAAGAATGTGGCTATGTCATCTTAAA